ACGGCTAACATCAGTGGCGAGTGAGATCTTATCCGGTATCGGGCAACCCCGAGGTAGACTCTGCGTCACAAATGCGGATCCGTAAGCGGCAGTAGCGGTCAGTTCGCGCGCCGTGCCAGAACGGATAGGTGCTCGCGAAGAATACAGACCCAGGGTTCTATGCGGCTGTACGGGTGATCTTTGTCTTTGTGGGTACGTGTGTATATTCGTGGGTACGTGTGGGTACGTGTGTATGTTCGTGGGTACGTGTGTATATTCGTGGGTACGTGTGGATACGTGTGTATATTCGTGGGTACGTGTGGGTACGTGTGTATATTCGTGGGTACGTGTGTGTTAGTGTGCATATTCGTGGGTACGTGTGGGTACGTGTGTATATTCGTGGGTACGTGTGGGTACGTGTGTATATTCGTGGGTACGTGTGGGTACGTGTGTTTATTCGTGGGTACGTGTGGGTACGTGTGTATATTCGTGGGTACGTGTGGGTACGTGTGTTTATTCGTGGGTACGTGTGGGTACGTGTGTATATTCGTGAGTACGTGTGTATATTCGTGGGTACGTGTGTATATTCGTGGTACGTGTGTGTATATTCGTGGGTACGTGTGGGTACGTGTGTATATTTGTGGTACGTGTGGGTACGCGACTGCGTCACCATCCCAGCGATTCAGAAGTCTCTGTGTGGGGGGAGCTGTTTGCGCTCCGAACCTTGCGTCGCGAGTTCGATTCCCGCTCACGGCCAATACCAATGACGATGATCTGAACGGGCCCCTAGGTCGACTCAGCCTCAAATGAGTATTGTCTATGGCGTGCGTTAACATCGCCACTGGGGAGACAAAGGCGGCCGGCGGCGTTGGTGGTGTTGGACACCCACCCCTTTGTGTGTTGTACCGTGCCGGCCTTCGCAGGTGCTACTCGCTGACAGCACTTCCCGTAACAGTCTATTAAAGGCTATATAGGGATGGGGGGCGGGGGGGGGGGGGTCTTTGTCTTTATCTGTGCGCGTGTGGGGGGGGTTACACGCGCAACCAGCAGCGAGAGAAGCCGAGTTGACAATGAGGGTGAGTATTTATCAAACGCGCAGTCCACGCCACCCACCCACCCCCCATCATCCCCCGACTCTCCCCCGCACCCCCGCTGTTAATTTTGATTGAGTCGTGCGTGGCGCGTGTCATGGGGATGCGGGGGAGAGCGAGCGAGAGAGATGAGAGGGAGCGGGGATTGTTGGAGGCGGGGGGGGGGGGGGACCATGGAGGGGGGGGGGGAGAGAGTGGGGGAGAGTGGGGGAGAAGAGGAGAGAGATGAGAGAGAGGAATTGGACAAGGGAGGGAGGGAGGGGGAGATAGAGAGAGGAAGAGAACAGCAAGAGAAGATATTTGGAGATGGGGAGAGAGATGGAAGAGACAAAACCCTTGGTACAACAACAACAACAATCATCGCCACCCTCATCTCCTGCCATGTCTCTACTCTTCCTGCCCCCCCCAGTCA